CTCATAAATCTGTATCGGCTGATCCGCAAAGAAGGGCGGATAACCGGCGGCCATTTCGTAGACCAAAACGCCAAGCGCCCACCAATCGACGGCCTTATTATAGCCCTTGGACAAGATGATTTCGGGTGCCAAATACTCGGGTGTGCCGCATAGCGTCCAGGTGCGACCCTTGACCCGCTTGGCAAAACCAAAATCGGTAACCTTCAGATAGCCCTGCGAATCGATCAATAGATTCTCCGGCTTTAGATCGCGATAGATGAGGTCCAGATAATGCAGATACTCAAAGGCGAGCACAATTTGTGCCGCATAGAAGCGCGAATGCGGCTCCGAGAAGCGTCCGACTTTGCGCAGATGAGAGAACATCTCGCCGCCGGGCACATACTCCAGCACCATATAAAGATTGGAGTTGTCCTTGAAATGGTAGCGCAGCGAGACCAAAAATGGAAACTGTATCGCCTGCAGGATGCGTTTCTCGTTCAGCGTATGCTCCACCTGCTTCAGCTTGACCACCTTCTGCTTGTCCAGTATCTTCATGGCATAATAGTCTTTTGTGGGCTTGTGCTGGACGATCATGACGCGGCCAAAGGAGCCGGTGCCCAGCGTTTTGATACGCTCAAAATCATCAAGGGCAGCGGTATTGGTTGGATTGCGACGCCATTTATCCTCGAACTCCTCCTTGGCCTGTTCAAGGAACTCCTTGACCGTTTCGGCGGCATCCACCTTCTTGTTGGATGTGGTCGCGTTGTTGCCCATTTTCGAGATGGTGCCCGTTAGCGAGGATAAACGAAACGTGGCGCTGGCTGACACTTGAGCCTGGGGTGAGCTGCTGCTGCTGTTGCTGGGCTGCTCCTCGCCAGAGGCAGCAGCTGCTTCCGATTTTCTTTTTGTTGTCGCTGTTCCAGTTCCTGTTGCGTCCGCTTCGGCTGCTCCTGTTGCTCCTGTTGCTCCTGTTGTTGTTGTGGTCGGCGGCGTTATTTTGTGGCTAGCGGCGGCTGCTTCCTGCTGTCCTCCCCCTGCACCACCGCCTTCCTCCTCGTTGCTGTGCTGCTGCTGTAACTTGCCCTCTGATCCGCTGCCGCTGCCGCTTGCCGTTCCTGAACTATGATGGGATTTTTTCTTTTTGAGAAATTGTAAAATGGATTTAGCTATTTTGGCGAATTGATTAACAACGGTAAAAAGAAAATTTTAGCAATGGCTTTTTGCGACTTTTTTTTCTCTTTTTTTAGCAGCAAAGCGCAACTTTTCACTTGTGTTTTAGCCTTTTCTTTAGCCGTAAAAACGGACTGTTCTTTTTTTTAAATTTTGCTGTTGTTGTTTTTGTTGTTGTTGTATTAGTGGAAGCTTCTGCACTTGTTGTTCTTGTTGTTGTTGTTGTTGTTGTTGTTGTTGTTGGTGTTGCAGCTTTAGATTAATATATAGATTACTTTGTTTTTTATTTTAATTTTAACACTTTGCGGGGGCTTAAACTAGTTTTACACTTTAAGCTTAGACTAACATTTGGTTTAACACTTGAAATTTTTTCCGTTTGTTTATAATTTTTATATATTTTTCTTTGTTTTTCTTTTTATTTTTTATGTGTAGCTGCAAAGAGAATGTTGAGGAGAAGGATAATAACAAAAATTAGCATACTAAATTTGATTTTTTTTCTTTCTCAAGTGTGTGTGCGTGTGTGTGTGCGTGTGCGTGTGTGTGCAGCGTTGCCATACAGTTTTTTAGTTTCTTTGATTTCTTAATAAGGCACATTCGGAGAATAAAAGTTTTTAGTTATACACTATTTATTTTTAGTTATACACTATTTAGCGCTGCATTTAATTTTTAATTACAAATTATTTATATATTTTATTTATTATTGATTATGTGGCGCTTTTTGTCATTGATTTTGGCTTTTTGTGTCTTTGCATTTGTTTTTGCGTCAAATGCATAAGAAAACAATTTAACTCAATAAATAAATCAATTTGCATTAATTAGCGCAACGCAAAAATCAAAGCAAAACTCATTTAGAAAAAAACGAACAAAAAAAATTAAGTACAACAAAAAAAAAAAAGAAAAAACTGTCGACGATCGTGTCAAGTGTCAAAACAGCTGATGGCCGTCATATGTTGCGCTCTCGCTCGCACTTGCTCGCAATCGCATCAGCTGCCAGCTAAGTGAGAACTTTTGTCTTCTGCTCTAAACTCGAGCCGAAAGCATTAAATTAATTATTAAATCTTTTTCGCTGTGCGTTTGCGTTCTGCTTTTACACACGTTCACTGTGTTTTGCTTTTGTCTCATTTGCTTTTGGTTTTGCACTTGTTTTTTCGCAATTGCTTTGCGCTCATTTACTTTGTGTAAGCGTGTATACGTAATGTGTATGTGTAAGTGTAAATGTGTGTGTGTGTGTGTATGAGTACGAGTTTGTGTGGTGTATGCGTGTGCATGTGTATCTGTGGCTGTGTGCGTTTCTGGTTGGACTTTTTTACGCTCTGCTTTTGGTATACACTTCTCTACATTTGCTGTTTGCTTTGTCGCTTGTGTTTTATTGGTATTTGCTTTTCTATTTTTTGCTGTATTTTCAATTAGGTAAATTGGCATATTTTGTTAAATTTTCCGTTTATAGTTGCATGCCCCATGTATAAAAAAAAAACTTTAAACAAACACAGAAACTCACACATACGCATACACACACGTTCACACAGATTGAATAATCGATTTTGCTACACACACACTTAAAAATTGCTTTGCATTTGTGGTAATTTACCTTTTTATTTAACTAATTCTATGTTTATAGCAATTCTCAACACATTTAGAAATTTTTGCAATTTTTCGCATGAATATTTTCTGAATTTTGCACTTTAGATTTGTTGCTTAGATTTAAAATACCCGCATTTACCGCCGAAAAAACCCGACCACACGCGTCAACAGCAAGATATACAATAACAGTTTAAAGTAACAGCTGTTAACGACAACGCACGATGTTAACAAGTGCTGTTCTCGACTGTCCAATAAGCAGTAGGTAAAATAACGCGCTTTAGAGAGAAGAGAGAGAATGAGAGCAGCGCTATAACATAGGAACATGTTGCGCTGTTATGCTAAATTCGCCGTAATATTCGATACTTTTTGAAATCGAGTTGTTCGCCGCAATCAAAAAAATGCACCATGACATAAGCTGGAGGTAAAGGACTACTATAAAAATCTTACATATTTTTAATTATACTCATATAAATGAAGAACACCTTAAACAATTTGTAGCGAATATGATAGCAAGGTAGATACATTCCTTAAGAAATTTTATTATCGATTATCGACGGCCACGAACTGCTTCTGGTATTTATAGCAATAACTGGTATTTTTTGTGCAGACCGTATTGTGTATTTGGCGGCAATCCAGTTGCGACCCACAATAAATATTGATATAGAAAAACATAAACAAAAACGGAATTTTTGAAAAATTTCACATTGCATATAACATGGATCAAGTTTGTCGCGTTTGCACAAGCAGCGCCGTCACCCTCGTGGATATATTCGCCAAGCGAGACCAATCCCAGGAGGAGCCCTGCCTGGCCGAGATGCTAAACGAATGCATCAACTGCCTCGTGCGACGCGACGATCCATTTCCCAAACAGATTTGCCTCTCCTGCGTGCTGGCCGCCCAGAATGCCTATCGCTTCAAGAAGCGATGCGAGCAGAGCCACAAGCACTTCTGCCAGCTGCTGGGCGGGGATTGCTGTGAAGATTGGCAATTCCCAGAATGTGGCATCAAAGTGGAAACTAATGAAATGGAGGAAATGCTGGAACACGAGCTTGTACCGCCGGACATAGCTGGGTGCATTAAGGTCGAGCCGGTGGAATCCATTGAACAGAGTACCACGACGAGACTCGATGCTGTCCAGCTAAATGAACCAGCCGAAGCTAGTCCAAAGTCAGTGCCAAGCGATAAAGCAGAGCAATGTCCCGTGTGCTCAAAGGTTTTCGCCAATCGCGGCAGTCTCAAGCGTCACATACGGATACACTCGGGCGAGCGGCCCTACAAATGCATCTACTGCCAGAAGGCGTTCAATCAGAGCTGCAATCTGGACAAACATATGCGCGTCCATTCGGGCGAACGGCCGTACAAGTGCGGCCAGTGCCTGAAGGCCTTCACCCAGAGCAACGTGTTGGCGAATCACCTGCGCATTCATGCCCACACCAACGTTGACGAACTACAGCCGCACAGGCGCACGCATTCCATCGAAACGAACTGGGCGGCGCTGGAAGCGCAGCGCCGCAGTCGAGCTGGCGAACGTGCCCACAAGTGCAGCCTCTGTACGAAGGCGTTTGCCAGCAAGAGGTATCTGCAGGAACACCTGCGCGCTCACTGTGGCGAGCGATCCTTTAAGTGCTGCCACTGCCCAAAGAATTTTGCCAACCGCGGAGATCTCGAGAGGCACAATCGCGTTCATTCCGGGGAACGGCCGTACGAATGCTCGCATTGCCCAAAGAGATTCAGCCAAGCTGTTAACCTGGAAAGGCACAAGCGCGTCCATTCAGGTGTTCGACCCTATCAGTGTCCCCACTGCCACATGGCATTTAAACAGAAAAGCCATTTGGTAAATCACATTCGCACTCATTCGGGAGAACGTCCGTTCCAGTGCTTACACTGCATGAAACGCTTTACCCGGCGCGAGTATCTTGGGAAGCATAGTCGTATTCACTCACTTAAATAAGCACTGAACCCCAAAGCAAAAATAAATAATATAAAGATCAGTAAATAAATTTTCTGCTACATTAAACAAACATTGTTAATTTTTTTGAAATTGTGCACATTTATCGAAATCGAAAAGACGATTTAATAATGTGAACAGTATCTTTTGAGCTTAACATACCAACGCACTGTTAAGTTAATACTGCTCTATTGTGAACCATCAGCATATTGCTGCGAATTAACAGCGTAGCACTGTAAAGTTAGCTGCGACAAAAAGAATACAACAAAAATCCGCATACGAAAGAAGTAATTTAACAAAATAAATAATAAACAAATAAAATGTGAAATATGCAATTTATTAACTAGCACACAGCTATTTTCTCTAAAGTTAATTGCAATCAAATTTAACATCAATCTGTGACGCTGGTATATATACGTATACATATATACGTATGTGATTGTGTTGTGTTGTGTGTGTGTATGTGTGCGTGCACTTTGTTTCCTGCTGCATAATTAGTTACCTTTTTTGTTTGGATTATTTGCTAGGTAAGTCATCAAGAATTTATTAATAAAACAAAAATACAATTAAATTGCCTACTAATCAGTTTTTGTCGCGTGCCCCTGTGACTCAATCAGCCGCTGCAGGTGGGTCTTTACCTGACGCCAGCATTATACAAACCTTAGTCATGCTCATTCCATTCGCCTGTTAAAGGCCTACATAAGAGCTTTATTTGTTGTCTGTCTGCAATGTTTGCACTCTGTTGTTGGCGCCGTTTGGGTGCAAGTGCACTCAAAATGCACCCAACTTACACCCGTACAATACGGACATTCAACCTGGTAGCAATAACAGACCTTAACCCTTTTAAGATGGTATTCTGTTAGCATTCAAACGGTTCCAGTTGAACACTTTACAGCTATGGCACACCAAAACGAACTGTGTAATTAGTGTGAATTACGTTCAAGTTAAAGTCAAGTTAAAAGCGCCTGATATAAGGCAAATAAAAACAATGTCAAAAGGCTGCAACGCTTGTCCACTGCAACCTAAAGCGTATGGGTGTGTGTGTGTGTGTGTGTGTGACAGTGCGTTCATTCACTTCCAAAATGGCTTTTGCGACGCTCTTCTGAAGATTTAATTGTTCGCATCCAGTGCGCGGCCTTCCACACGTAGTAATTACTGTGCATGCTGCTATCTCCCTCTCGCTAACTACGCAACTGTCTTTTTTTCTATTCTATTCTATTTACCACCGAACTTTATCTATTTACATGCACCCAATTACGTACGTTCTAGGTGCGCGTGCACCGAGCCAAACGTTTGGCATATGATAAACAATAACAGCTCAGTAAAAAAAAAAATATATGTACTTTTAATAGTTGTGAACAGTTGTTGGGCGAACGGTTTATTTATATTTAAAGTAACCTGATATTTATTAAAATTTGGTTAAAACGTGCAAAGTATGCACTTTTCACTTAAAGTAACAACAAATGTAAACATTTTTTTTACAAAGAGTTGCACTGTTTCAAAGAATCTATTAATAACTTTACGTTATATTAATATTTTTTAAGCAATTTTTCTGACTGAAAAAAAAGGAACCAAAAAGCTTGAGTCAAACACATTCAGAATATTCAGCAAGGTCTGTTTTAAGAGAACTTTCAATTTTATTTGAAATATTCACTACGAACAGAATATGTAAAAGCATATAACTTTGCCAAATACGTACATAGACTGAGTTCTTTGCAATCCAAGGCCGTATAGGCCTGCCTTAGACGAAGATCACAGTATCCGAGTACCTTTTAAAAAGTTAAGTGGATAGTTTGTGCCTACATATATCCATTACTTGTGAGTTTGAGTCTGCTGGCAATCAAGGCCCGTGCCGATCAATAGAGTGTCTGCTCTGCTGGGCTGCTTTGAAAGAGTCACCAGATATTATGATCTAATGATTCTGTTAAAGCTTCTATTGAGATTTGACTTGTTTATAAGGTTTATAAATAAATATTAGGAATCTTTCAGTATCATCTGTCATATATGTCACTTTAGCTGTAGTTGCCTGACATCAGGTTCAAAGGGCATTTTCACTTTCGAATCGCACGTCACACGCAACGTGGCCGGACATCTCTCGAGCATTTCACTTAAATATGATTGAATCAGTTTAATTGATTGCACACATGCATACCTACACACACACACATACACGGAAACGTGCGTGTGTGTGTGTGTAAATATAGAGCATGATTTTGTTGTTTACGCTTATGATTTTGTTGCATCGCTCGCAATTTGCAATTTGAGGGCAGGTCAGTCCGCAGAGTCGAACCGAGTCGAGGCGAGGCAGCGCTGGCAATAAATATATATATATAAAAAAAAAAAACAAATGCTCGCACAATTAATTTACATTTATTACACGTGCCGCGCTTTGCGCCTCCCTTCAGCTCCTTCACAAGTCGCCGACGACACGCGCTAACCAAAGCGCCCCGTCCAAATTTATGCCCAGACCTCAGGCCCCGTGCAAATGTAAATGTAACACCCACTTAGATGCCTTCTGTCGTATAAAATTACGTGCTCTGCGAATGCCCACACGTTGCCCCTCTTAAATCTTGTTGGGACGATTAGCCGTATGCTGCCTGTGCGTAGGTGGGCTATGACACCTATGACATCGACGGAACATGCATACATATCGAATGAGACATGAATAAGGTTCATTGAGAAATATTAAATAGAAAGTCTATAGCTCAAAACAATTGCTATTTCATCTTAAAGAAAGTTTAGTTTCCAGGATTCCCTCGCTAAAGAGAATATGAGGCATAGATTTAAATAAATTTATGATATTAAAGTTAGAGTTAATCAATATTTTGATAGATTATTTTTGGTATTTTTATGGAGCCTTATAAATTTGCTAGAATAAGAGTTTGCACTTATTTGTTTCGTAATATAATTGTTGCAAATATATTCTGCACATTCTGAACGAATTTAGATGCCGAAAAAAATCAATTAAATCCACTTTTCTCTGATTAGTTTTTTAGTATCTTCAGTAAGTAAAAGAAATATCTGATTTATGATATTAATATTCAAATATAAATATATTTGTCATAAAGAAATTTGGCAAAAGGCAGATTTTCCACAAATAAATTTAGAAGAAATAGCTGATTTATGATATTTAATTCTTGATATATTTGTTTGTGGAATAGAATTATTGGAATCTGGGAAAAATATTCAATTTTTAGTCAAGTTTTGTGTTGAACTATAAAGTTCAGTATTCACAGAATTCTTCAAGTAAAATCGTGCATCTATTAAATATCATAAGTCAACAATTTTCTATGACTTATTTGTATGACAAAAATGCCTGAAATGTTTGTAGCTGTTGGCACATATGCAATTAGGACACCAATTATTTTCGTGTAGATTGAACAGGCAGTGCCATTAGAGAGCTTTCACATGAATAGCTAAAATTCATGTATGATATATTTAGGTGGTGTTTTAGCCAAGCATTTAATTGGCATGAGTAAGCCGTCTTTAGCGTTGTCTTGCCCGCAGAGACTAATTAGTCAGCGAGCAGCCGCGCTCCCTGGCCAAGTGTAAAGGTGCCTTCGCTACGTCCATTATATATTTTCTTATACATATGAACATACAGCTAACGTAATTCTCTTACAGCTAACACTAATATTGCTCAGAAATTAAGTCGCAAAGTGCTTCCCCTCTCATAAGAATCAGCGCCCTCAATGAACCAACACGTGCTCCCAATTCAAGTACTGTGAGTATTTACTATCAACGAAATAAGTACTTAATCGATTGGTTTGATCCTTTGCATGAGTTTGAAGCTGGCTGTTGCATGTGCCATGCATTTACAACAATAAATAATAGTATACTATGCATGAATACGCCCGAACCAAATGCTATATCGCACTGCGCAATCAGCACACCTTTCATATCGATTCGTGTATTTGTGTGGGGCTTTTATTTATTATTGTTTTACTTGCGTAATTTTAGATTTTGCTGTTTGTATGACAACGTCTCGCATGTTAGTTTAAGTTTCAATGCTAAAGTCCCTAATGGGAGAAAACTGGATGTACGCAGTGTTAAAGCTCAATGTCCAAAAAGAAATGTAAAGTGTAAAGTATTTGCACAGAACTCAACAAATGTTAGTACGGGCTGTTACGAACAATTATGTTATGTTGCCTTTAACATAGTTATGTTATGGGTAATGTTCAATGATTTATTCCCGCGTATACTTATGATGCGCCATTTGTTATGTTGTAATAAAAATTTTTATGAGTGAGCGAACGCCTGACAGATAATATAATATAAGTCTAAATTCTCGCTGCTTTTCCGTATGTACTAATCTTATCGGCACAAATGTACTAAAAAATCAATGAGTCATCCAGGCGATGTTTTGATAAGAGTACTGCAATTACTTTGCCGCCCCCCCCTTGCCCAATTTGTCATTAAGCCGCTGACTTAGCGATGACTGATCTTTGATTATACGCCATAGCTAAGTAGCTAATGGGTTTCGATTCATAATCACCCAACGTCAGGGCTTGGGTGTGATAAAGAGTGTTGCCCTTATCAGCTAGTGTTTAGCCTACACATATGTTTTGGGGGTGTACGAGTATGCCTGGGCTAGCCAAGCCGAATCTCCAGAGACGACAAACCCTTCACTCAACACTTTTTATGTTCAGAAAACAAAGAACACGCATGAAAAAGATTTTTATGCGAAAGCAAATAAATAAATGAACGCAGGCAATTTGTTATGAAAAGTATTCTAAAAGCGGAAATATGCTGCATATGGTAATGGCATCAATTAGCATTCTGTGAGTTTGTGTGGATCCCCCATCTGTTTGGGATTTTATGTGTGTTTTTCTTTGGCAACACAGTAAACACCTTTGTTTATTTGCACCTAAGTTTTTCTTTTAATGAACACTAATAGCAGCTAAATGCTCTTCGTGCATATTTCAAATAATTCTGATGAGATTTTAACGTCATCGTAAATTAATTATTATGCATCGAGGCTCATGAGATACACTCAAAGATGGTATTGCATATAATAATAAAACTGTTTATATATAAATTAGCAGCTGCAGAAGCTGTGCTGAGCTATGAATTAGCCTAACATGTATCAAGTACATGTACATCAATAAGTACTTACCAGGAAAAGAACGGAGGTAGACAGACTTTTGTTTGTACACATCACTGCAAAAATAAAGAAATAAAAAGTGGATTAGAGATAGGGAAATTAAATTAAATTAAAAATAAAGCACGCTAATAAAAAAAGAGTGTTAGCATAAAGTGTATTTGTCTTCAAGTAGAACTTGTTAACTTTATACAAGGAATCAAATCTAAGTTCAAGTCATGAAAATCGCTTTAAAAATTAAGGATAGATTTGAACAATGTGAAGTACACTTGGTCCTTGTGTTCGTCAGGTATTCGTATATCAATTTTAAACATCATTTAAACACAAATTTTCCGACCGTGGAAAATGTGAATCGTTCCCCAAGACGAAATACAAAAAGCTGCAATCAACAACATATTTTGTAGATATTTTAAAAAAGATCTTAGTCAGCCCTAAAAATATAATATAATAAAAAAAAACGATGCAAGTATGTGTTACGCCCCTTTTGAGCATAGTTTTGGGCGTACTTGCGAGTGTTGTTAACCTATTTGATAAAAAGTACAAGAATGATTGTGATTATATAAGTTTTTTGATATACAAATTTAATTATCAATCATTAAATCCTTGCCGTCATAGTCATGTGCCATTATTTTTAGAGCAGCGCTAATCTAGAGAGCAGAAAATAAAACAAAATACCAAATAATGAAACGTGCCTGCGCTTAAAGCAAATGTGGAAATGTGGTATCGTGACAAGATCCACATTTCTGTTCACTCGATCGGCATGTGTAAATATTGAAACGCACTCACGATCGTTCGTTCAACTATGGGCCATGGACGTCATAGCTTTTTTCACAAACCTGCCCCTTGGGCATCTAAGTGTACGATCATGCGATGATGAGCGACTTGTTGCGCTGCATAGACCAAAAACCAGTCGATTGTAACTTTGCTGCGGGCGCCACAAACTAGTTTCGCATGGATCGCTTTTTTCTCTCCCTCTCTCTATGTTTTCTTGACCACACTTGATTAATAATAGTTGACTATGAGGGAGTAGCTTATACAATTTGAGCTAATTTTGGCTTACATCTGTTGTTTTACATATTTAGAAATTTCTTTAGCTGTAAACTATTTAGTTTACACAAAGTACACAAGCCCTGCAGTTAAAATTCGACCGCACTAAATGCTTTTGCATTTAAAGATATAAATAATTATATGGCTGGCAATAAAACTGCAGTTTACACAATCGTTAAATGTTGATTGGTTTATTTTCAAGTGACTTAAACATCTGTCGAGATATGTTTGTGTTTCTCGTACTAACCTCTAGTTGTTCCAGTTGACAGCGAGGCGCATATATTACATTCTCTCGATAATTACGCACAACTTTTGGCAATTATTTGTCATAAATTATTATTATGAACGAAGCCTAATTTTTAATTGACGCCAGAGCAAAGCGCTTTAAGTCCAGATACATACACAGATAGTTAGCTTTATATATATATAAAGTTATGAACATATGTGTGCAATATTTAATGCCTGCTGATCCGACGCTTAAATTTATTTCAATTTCAATTGAACAGCCAAACGGTTTTTGTTTACAGACGCGTCGCGCCTTTAATGCACATTGTACAAACATATGTGTGTTCAACATTAATTAATTGATTTTTAAACTATTGTGGAATGTACTTTTTTTCATAGGCCTTCTTTCTCTCATACACACGTGCACTGCTTGCCTCTGGCGGGCGTGACGTATACGCAGCGTACTCTCCTGTGCACTGCTTGCGGCCGAACTCAACACGATCGCTGTTAAAGTTTGTGTCAGTTAACAGTGCGCACTAGTGCTGAGCGCGTGTCGTGATAACAGCCTAACAAAAGCTTTGGGAAAATAGAAACTGGAACTTTTGCTTGACTTTGTACGTGAATTGAACTAGGTGAAAATTCTTATAAGAAAAAGCGCTAGTTATAAATACCAAGTCATTGTCATTAGGCAATATACTATTTTTATATTCGTACAAATAGTAAATTAGAAATATTTTCAATTATCATAACCAGACTATAAATATTTTTAATGATTGTGCATGAATCAGCATAATAAAATGCAGCAGGGGAGGTAGATCTCTCTGAAATGACTCTCTGACACTTGTTCATCACCAGCGCGAATCGCTGGCCAGTTAACAGAGTGCTTGTTGCGACACGCACAGCTACACAGAGAGATACATTTTAGTTAACAGCCTGGATCGCAGCAGGTTCTCTCTTTTAGTATAGGCAGCGTCGGCGTCGCGTTATGATCGCTCGGGTGCGTTGGCACGCGTTCTCCAACTTTAGCGACTGTGTGCACAAACAAAAGCAAATCAACAAACAAACAAGCTCATAAATACCCACTGCGAGTATCTATAGAAAATACATATTAAAACAAAACAAAAAGAGCACAGAGACACACACACATATATATATATATATTATTTACCCCTACAAGCGGTGTGTGCTATTTTTATTTTCGGGCTTCTTGTAATGTGAAAAAAACCCTCTTTCAACATAACCAAAAACGGGCCAGTTATAATGCAAGGGACGCTGCAGGCGTCTCTTTTCGGGCATTACGAGTATTATTTTGATTTAAGCAATTATTGAAAACAGCCAAAATGCAATACACGGTATGTAATACTCTCTCTCCCTCCCTCTCTCTCTCTCTCTCTCTCCTTCTCTCTCGCTCTTTCTCTGAGAGACCTTCTGCACTTTTAGTCGCATGCCTGGCTTATTATCTCGTTTGCCCTTTGACCGCGTTTTGCCTAGCAATATATGTAAATATTTCCGGTCTAGGGCTAAAATTTAGCCCTATAGGGTTTAGAGCTGCAAAATATTTTGCAATTAAACAGTTGCTCAGCGTTGTCTTTCGCTCAGCGTTTATCTTATCGCTAGTCAGCTACTAAAATTCTTCTAGAAAGCAAAAGCAAATAAGCAACAGCCACAATAACATACATTAAAATTTCTGGGCATATATTGCCTACACATTCACATTCACAATTTATTTATGGCATAATTTCAATGTATTGCCAAATGTTGTTGCTTAAGCTATAAAGAAAAGGTATGAAAAAGTCGAAGTTGAAGTTGAAGAAAAAACAATTCAAGCAAATGTGTCACAAAGCTTTTTGTTCAATTTTATTAAACGACATTGAATTGTCTTAAATGTTAAACAAAATTAAGTTATTTTAAACTTCGTATGCATACGAAAATTCTATATAAATACGCCCCTCTGCCAAAATTAAACGCCTCTTCAAATTTAATGGGCAAAGCGTTTCCCCTGCTCCAAAGTTGGAAATTGTGGGCCATTAAGCCACCATCAACATTAGGTAAGACAGGTAAAAACTAAGTATATTCGCTCTCTTCTACTGCTGCTTGTTATCAGCGAGAAAGAAGAAAATAGAAGAACGGCAAGAAATGCTGAAACGAATTGTATGGCAACAAGAATTGAAGAGAATAATAATTAATATTATTACTAATAATAATTAAAATGGCGCTGATGAACAAAGCACATGACACGACGCGCAAATCATCCTTCCCTCTCTCTCTCTATAGCTATAGCTAAGCCTTTTTGCTTTGAAAACTCAATTTTCAGACACGTCTCATGCATTTCAATTGGTTAATATATACATATATATGGAACGGCAGCTCAATGGATTTGCCCAGTTGTCCAGTTGACCAGTTGTCAATATCAGTTCCATCGTTTTCATTGCGGGTGTCAAGTGCTGGCAGGCATTTTTATCGATGTCGCCTTTCCGTTTCCATCTGTCTCTATTTAACTTTGATGGATGGCTGAGGCATCGTTGTGAAAATAATAACAATGCTAAGCCATAAACCACACTTTTGCCATTTTGCAGCCCTTTTCATAATGATGGATCTTATGGGGTCAGTGCCGTGGCCCGAACACTTGTCGCTCCAATTCTCGTTGTGAGGGGTAGTCAGAATAATGAAGCTTATTTATTATCGAGCAAGGGAAAGAAAAAAATGAAACTATTCATTTATTATTTGTTGTCTAGAAAGCAGCATTTCTTGTTATGATTTTTATATTGTTTGCTTAGGCTTAGAAAAGTGGAAAATGGGTGGAAACCTGTTGTGTAAGCCTTTTGTGATCTACGAAGCAATTCAAGTGTAAATATTTCTTTGAAACATTCTTCACAGTAAAATTCTGTCAGCTAAAAATACCAAAAAAAAAAAAAAAAAAAAAAAAAATACTAGGAAATAATGTTAGATTTTGTGTAATAATAATATTAAATTACAACAATTTTATGTGATTATGAAATGTTTAAAATTGTTGCCATAAAAAAATTATGACCTTTGCATGTTAGTCGAAAGACTTTTATTTTTTTACAGTGACTACCCCTATTTTTTTTTTTTTTGTTACACAAACACATATTTGCATTTGTTTTTAGCGACCTCAGACGAGACTCAAATGTTTATTCAAATGACAAAGGGTGTTGGTCGTTGTTGTTTGTGTGTTGGTTGTGCAAACAGTTTGTCATATTGGTTTATCGATTCGGAAAACTTGATAATTAATTTATGAACTTGTCCGCAGCCCACTAACATCTAGTTTTTCTTTCGCACCGATTTGCAGCTAATTTGAAGAAAGAATGCTACCGAGCCTGGACACCCTTATGCGTTGCTCCAAGCGTGTGCTGCAGTCGCCGATGGAGGCGGTCAAGATGCACAGCAACGGCCATAGCAAGGCGCCCGGCGGCGGCATCTATGGCCCCTTTACGCCGGCCAACGATCTGAGCTGTTCCGGTCGCGGCGATTGCGTCAATAACACATGCGTCTGTGACATACGCTATGCCGGCGATGAGTGCGACTTCTTTAATTTGCCCTACTATGCGGGCATATCCACTGTCTTCTATGTGGTGGCCCTCGTCTCGGTCATCCAGCTGCTCATTTGCATTGTGGCCGAGTATCAGCGGCTCAAACAGCCATCGATTCTGCGCGCCTGCCGCATCACCACACAAAAGCTACTCTACTTTATGGTATTTGTTGCATCCTCGCTGCGCGGCGCCTACTTCACCACACCTGTAAGTACTCCAATCCAATCCAATATAATTTGTTGAAATATTAATTGATTTTCTCCTGCTTTACAGCTGGATCTGCAGCCTCAGTGGGCCGTCACATTGATGTCCGCCTACTATCCGCTGCTCATGACCTGCGCTTCCCTCATCGTCTGCATGTGGGCCGAGGTGAGTTGACGAGTCGATGATGAGTTGCTCCTCATTGAATTACAGATGAGCGCGTGAGAATTACTGGCGAATTGCTAACAACAAAAAAAAAAAAACAAAAGTTCTCGCAATTTTCATTTTGTTTGCATTTACAAAAAGTCGTAGATCTTGTCCGTGCCGTGCAATTTCCAGCTTAAATCTTTCTCACAATATTGTTACTTTAATTGGAATTGAAAATGGGAAACGGAAATCTAGAACTGCATTTTAAGCAAATTCTCTAGTTAAGTTTGCCAAGTAACAACAATTTTTCGATAAGTTTTTCAATTATATTAATTAATATAAATCCAAATAATAGGACTAGAAAATCCAAAGGGTTAAAAATATGCAGAATTTGCAAACAATTCTCGCAATATTTCAATTCCCATGTGGAAGCTAAGCAATTAAGCAAATAACTAATACAAGAGCTTAACCAACTTTTAAATAGAATTTTTAAGGCCAGGCCGAGTAAATTTGTTTAATCTAAACGCTGATAAGCATATCCCAGCTATAGTTGAGTTAAAATCATAAAAAAAATATATATAAAATAAAAGAGAATTATGTTTACGATTGTACTCCGCTGTATTCAAATCTTATCCCAACTTCAAGAGCTTTTTTTTTTTTATAAGGCTCAATCTTATCTGTATGTATTTCTTAGATAAGTCAGGAACTCTCTTCTCTGAGCACAAAAACTAATAAGCTTTATTCAAATCTTATTCTCGTATAAGCAAATAATTCAATAGCGTCACGAGTAGAGCACGAAATCTAAAACTTATCACGAGGTGTTTTTGTAAAGCCCAATCTTATCTAAATGCCACGCTCATTTTGTGACAGCCAGTGAGTAAATATTTTGTAGGTGTGTTAGAAACTCTTTTTCTGAACACAAATATAATATTGGGTGCTATCACACAACCATCTGCAATCTCAAGTGCGACAGTTGTTCGAGTGCTTGAGTGCAAATGTACCCAATTTATATATTTGTTTGTTCATTCGCAATTACAATTGTTTTTCAACGCTTCCCATATCGCAATAGGCGAGCGCAATTTATCGCGCCCATTAATTAGACTTATGGGAACGTTTGAAAGTCGAGTACGTGCGCACTTTCCTGCATATTGGCCACATGTATAAATATATATACATATATTAGTTGATTTGTGTGGCTTTTCTTTTCAGATATTTCACCTGCGCGACATACGCTGGGAGAGGTCGCAGTTCCTGTCGAAGAGCTTCCTGGGCTTTGTCGCGTTCAACTTCTTCCTGTACAGCCTGTTCGGCATTGAGGTGTTCAGTTCGCTGATCAACTCGGAGCGTCGTGATTATGCGCACATCTTCAATGGCTGTTATGCTGTGCTCCTGCTGATTGTCGTTATCTTCTTTCTGATTTATGGCGTTGAGGTGTTCTTCAAGCTGCGTGGCGGTTTTGTCTACGATCAGACGGGCAAAATACTTGGACCCAGCGAGGCAATCGTGAATGCCTCGCAGCTGCATCAGTCGCGCTTCGGTTTGCTCAGCCAGGGCATAATGCTAATTGTGATTGTCGGTTTTCTCACCTCCGAAACGCTTGGTGACTTCTGGAAGGCCAAGTAAGTCCTCGCTTGCCATTTTAAATGTAAACGTGAATTGATTGCTTTTTTGTTTAACAGAGTGCCTGTCAATTCGCGCAACTGGTATGACATAATCTTTCGTATTGCCGAAATAGGCGTTGCCTTGTGGTTTCCGTGCTGTCTGTGGAACTGTATGGCACCGGAACAGCTTTGGATACTGAACCCACGCAAGCTGCTGTCGCGTCAAATCGATCCATCGATACCGACCCTCAATGCGGACAGCAATAAGCTATCGCCCGAGGAGGGCCAGACGTTCTTGACCAAAAAGGATTGCTGGATATGCTATGACAGCGATAAGCCCGAGCCGCTCATCCAGCCCTGTCGATGCACTGGCGACGTCAGCTCCGTGCATCACGAGTGCCTTAAACGCTGGTTAGTCGAGAGCTGCAGCAGCAACAACGAGGCTCAGCTGGCGTGCAAGGTTTGCTCGCATCCATACGAAATTGAGAAATCCAAAAAGTAAGTTAACCACAAAATCCATTCTAATCAACAATATTTCTAACCGCCTCCAACTGCGCTCTATAGACTCGAGTGGGACAAAGGCTTTACCATTCAGCACTGGATGAAGACCGTCATATTGATCACGCTAATGTGTGTGACCGGAGCCACAGCCTGGGCCATTATACAAATGTACGTGGATCCGTTGGTGCGCGTCCTGACCGTTGGCGTCGCAGTACTGATTGGCTATGTGTGCGTCAAGTGTCTGGGCGAGAATACTGTGGTGGCGTATCAGCGTGCCAAAGTCAGCTCCATTAATATTGTGACCAGCTCCGAAATGGAGAAGCTGCATACCATATGCGAGGATGTCAGTGCTAGCACCTCCGCGGCAGCAGCTGTGCAGGCCGCCTCCTAAAACAATAAGCACTTGAAGTCTATGCCATAAGGAAACATCACACCCATACACAGTTGCATACAAATCCGTAAGATATATATATGCAGACAGACGACAGACACTATACATACGATTTAGTTTAGATTAGCGCCCGTTTAGCACACATATTTTGCTCAATATCCCCCCCTAAAATTCTTCTTCCCCGCAAACTGTGTACATAGGTTTTAAGTCATTTTAGTGTTTAGGAAAAACGGTTCGAAAAAAAAAACGAGTCAATTTTGTCTCTCAAAGTAGCACGCATTATTCCAAGCGGTACATGTATTAAAACGAAAACGGAAGAAAGAGAAAAGCAAAAGCAAAAGCAAAGCCAAATATTATATAATTTATGTACCACACATATAAGCCAGTATCAATTATACACAAATTATCGAGAACGTCTTGAGATTATGATTATGATGAGAACACGTTGCCAAGTAGCTGGAGAAGTTTTTAAAATTAAATACGCGTAGGTAACAACGGCACCAGTCAATGTCAGTCTAGCTGAGCATGTTTGTAGTTTTTAGAGTACACGTTAAGTTCTTAAACACGGCACAGCTAAGTTTATTTGGCGAATATTAATTTAGGAACACACACACACACACACATTTATATACAAAAATACTTGTATTCATTATTTTTTTTTTAATTTGTATTCAACGCGAATACAGTTCGCAATACACCTTAAGCTTATACTTAACAAATCTAATTTATAAACCATTTATATATTTATTTATATATATATATATATATATATGTATGTAAAAAGCGCTCACATTTGAATTGTGTTATTCAAAGCGATTTTGCTAATCAAGCATAGTTTCAACAAATTATCAACAACAAATTGAACACAACATATTTACACCTTAAGCTTATATACATTTTTGTGATAAACCAGTTTAATATAAAAAAAAAACATTTATATCAAATAAAATTCGTGTTTTTAAATATGTTTAAAGATAACTGCACTCTCTCTCTCTCTATATATATATGGATTTCGATGATTGTTAGTCTAGGATATTTGTATACCCTGAACCCATTAAAAATGTGTGTAACAGGCAGAAGGAAGCATCTCCGACCCCATAAAGTATACATATTCTTGATCAGCATCAATAGCTGAATCGATCTAGCCATGTCCGTCTGTCTGTCCGTATATATGAACGCAAGGATCTCAGAATCTACAAGAAATTTTAGATGTAGGTGCTTCCGATAATCGATAACTTACCCCGTTTCCAAGCAATCGATAAAAATCGATGTCGATATCCTGTTTTTTGGGCTATTTTGGTAAATAATAAGAGCTAGAGTCACCAAACTCGACATATAGCTTATAAAATAAAATATATATATGCATTTGATGTTGGAAGAAATGGGTTCAGGATATCCCCAGGTCGGAAGCTACCGACTAGAACCCCTTGTTATGAAATGTAAAGTAAAACACATCTCACAGAACATTTGTGTGCTTGATCGTACCAACAGCCATGTCCGTCTGCCTGCTTTAAGTGTACTTTAATGAAACTTTGCATAGGTCTCTTCTTTTGTTGCATTTAGCACAGATGATGTCTGATGCTGTCAGATTTTTCTTTCAAAATCTCATTATCAAAGCGAAATCTTTTTTTAAATACGTCGTATTTATATTATAGGTGCGATTTTCCGGAATTGGGGTTTTCTTTGTAAACATGCGAAAGTTAAAAAGCTAAACTTTTTAAAAATCTATAAGCTAGAAAAGTGATTTAAGCTGAAATTTTCTATATTCAGCATTGTCATTTGCAGCTTTGATGGCAGCAATTGATCTTTCATAGCACTTGGTTAATCTTGTTTCAGCGCCGTTTGGCCACAAGGTTTACCATGCTGTAAGCAGGTTATGGGGCCTAAGAAACAAATTATAAATAAATATTTGAAAAGAAATCTTTTTTACCATGCTTAGCACAGTTTTATTGGCAGTCGCCAGCTTCGCCCACAGTTCCCAAAAGCATGACAATCTATATTACAAATAAAGTATTCAACATGCTGGACAAAGTGGAAACTTAGAGACTTGTTTGTTGTCAAACAGATATTCCTCGTTGTGCAATTCCTTAAAATCTTTGGAAAGATACAATAAAACAGTAATCGCATTTGTTGTCCTTTAAGTCTAGAGTTATACATTTATTTTACACGCAATACCTATCAAATTTATAAGTTTTATATGTATACAGAATATGCTTACAAGCTTTTCATTATTGTATGCATCTATAATGTTCTAATGTATATATATGTCGTGTATCCAATAAATTATTGTGAGTATTATTTTGAATGCTAACGATTAAGTGTTAGTAAGAATCAGAGAATTTGACAGAAGGTACTGCTATTTAACATAACTGTCCTACTTGTATTAGGGTTGCTACTGAAAGCATGGTGTGAGACAAAAAAGATAGTCTCTGCCGAGCATGGCCCGAGTGTGTTGTATAACGTCCAGTTTGCTATAGTGTTGAATGTTCACTAACAGTACTAAAAGTCAGAGAAGAATATAGAATGACAAGAGCATGAGTAGTATGCTCGAGGACGATGAAAATTATTCATTCTAAAAGTGGAAGTCATAGAGAACAGACGTGCTCGCTCCTAAAAATATAATTATTTTGTGACTATAACGACACTCGGGACTTGCTGTACTGCCAGTATGCCTAATTGCAGAGAAAGTGATTTCTCTGTTCCGACATCAGAAGTGGGATCAGGCGATGCCCCTCCACGAGGCAATTCTGACGATTCGTGGCGTCAGCTTTTAGAATCTCAAAATCGAAATATTCTTGAGATTATTAAAGCAATGCAGATGTCAAATTCAGCATCCTCAACAAAGAAGAGCATCTCGTTGCCAAAGTTCAACCCGGACATTGCAGGCGCAGATGCAAATGCCTGGTGCAAAACTGTGGACATAATACTTGACGATAATCCTATTGAGGGCAGTACACTGGTGATGACCCTCAGCGGCTCCCTAGAAGGAAGCGCCTCGCCCTGGCTTTCTCAAATATGCTATACTGGAATGAACTGGCAAAATTTTAAGGAATTGTTTTTGCAACGTTTCGTGGGAATGGAAACATCGGCGGCAACTTTAATGAACATTTTTAATGGCCGACCGAATGATGGCGAATGCCTCTCCGTATATGCGAGCCGTCTTGTGACCTCACTTTTATCCAAATGGAAGACAGCGAACATGGAGGAAATTGCAGTCTCAGTTGTTTTGGCACATACATCGAAAATCGACAAAAGTCTGCAACGTATGTTATATACGACTAATATTAAAAGTCAAGACGAGATGCAACAGCATCTGAAGGCCTATGCTTATGGAAGGTCAAATGGAGGTCTACAGCCAAATATCCCAATGGAACCAGATCGCAAGAGATCGAAAACATATGGCATTAAATGTCATCATTGTGGAAACCTCGGACACAAGATGGTCGAATGCCGCAAGAGGAAGTATGAAGAAGGCAACGTGTCAAAAAACTCAGCATTACCTAAAGTTCGATCTGCCGTTACCTGCTTCAAATGTGGCGATGCTGGCCACATTGCGTCTTCATGTACGAAAGGAGTTTCTACGAGCGGTGTTGGATCACATGACAAGCGTATAAACATCTGTTGTGTGTCCGAGCCAAAAGGAATCCTGCGTCAATCTGGTGAGCTCGTTCCATTTTGTTTTGACTCTGGAGCGGAATGTACGCTCATCAGAGAGAGTTGTGCCGAGAAATTTTCCGGAAAAAGAATTAATAATTTGATAGTTTTGAGGGGTATTGGAGAAAATCCTGTGTATAGCACTATGCAAATCTTGGCTACTGTTAAAATTGATCAGTACTCCTTAGAAATATTATTTCATGTAATAATGGATAAGTTTTTGAAATACGATGTATTGATAGGCCGTGATATACTCGGATTAGGCTTTGGAGTCTCCATCGAGGCCGACAAATTTGAAATGTACAAAACCAAAACTGTTGATGTACTAATAAAAGTGCCAGATATAAGTTACGTAGAGCATCTGAATAACGATAGAGCATTAAGCAACACTGATAAGAATCGTCTGCTAGAATTATTGCAAAACTATGCTGATAAATTTATTGAGGGTATTCCTCAAACGCGAGTAACTACGGGTGAACTTGAAATCCGCCTGCTTGACCCAAATAAAACTGTACAAAGGCGTCCGTATAGGTTAAGCATAGAAGAAAAAGAAGTCGTGCGAAATAAAGTAAAAGAATTGTTAGACGCAAACGTTATACGTCCTAGTTGCTCTCCATTTGCAAGCCCAATGCTGATGGTAAGAAAGAAAAATGGAACCGATCGACTATGTGTCGATTATCGGGAACTGAATGCTAATACGGTCGCTGACAAATATCCGCTGCCTTTGATTTCTGATCAAATTAATAGACTGAGTGAAGGCAAATATTTCTCCAGTTTAGACATGGCAAGTGGTTTTTACCAAGTTCCAATACACCCAGACTCTATCGAGCGCACTGCTTTTGTCACGCCAGAAGGACAGTATGAATTTTTGGCCATGCCTTTTGGATTAAAAAATGCTTCCTCGATTTTCCAGCGCGCAATCGTGAGAGCATTGGGTGATTTGGCTCAAACGTATGCCATCGTCTATATAGATGACGTGTTAATTCTAGCGAAGACAAAGGAAGAGGCACTTGAAAGGCTACAAACGGTCTTGGAAAACTTGTCTAGAGCTGGATTCTCATTTAACATTACAAAATGCTCGTTCTTGAAAACAAGCATAGAATATTTAGGATACTTGGTTGAAGCGGGTCAAATTCGACCAAATCCACGCAAGATACAAGCGTTGGCCGAATTGCCGTCACCGCAGTCAGTAACGCAGGTGCGACAATTCATAGGCCTAGCCTCGTATTTTAGGCAATTCGTACCAAAATTTTCTGAGCAGATGAAAGCTTTATATAATCTCACCTCCAAGAATAATAAATTTGTCTGGAAGCCGGAATATGAGGAAATTCGTCAAAAAATCGTATCAATTTTGACTAATGACTCCGTTTTGACAATTTTCGATCCACTAAAGCCAATTGAATTACATACAGACGCAAGTTCTATTGGATATGGTGCTATTTTAATGCACAAGATAGAAAATAGACCCAGAGTCATTGAATATTACAGCAAATGTACGACAATGGCTGAAGCAAAATATCATTCATACGAGCTTGAGACCCTCGCAGTTTACAACGCAGTAAGACACTTCCGCCATTATTTACATGGTCAAAAATTTATTGTGCATACAGATTGCAACTCCCTGAAAGCAAGTATCAAAAAAATTAACCTTACCCCAAGGGTACATAGATGGTGGGCATATCTGCAATCATTTGATTTCAGCATTGAATACAGGAAGGGAGAACGCATGTTACATGCTGATTTTTTCTCGCGCAATCCGTTGCCTACTGATTATAAATCCTCAGCGAAAACGGTTGAAATGCACATAAACCTAGCTGAGATAACCGACGATTGGCTTCTAGCCGAACAGCAACGAGATTCTGACATTGCTTCCATAACCTTAAAATTGCGAAACCATAAGATGGGAGAAGCTATCTCAGCGTCGTACGAATTGAGAGCAGGAGTATTATATCGAAGGATTCAAAGAAATGGCAGCACAAAATGTTTGCCTGTAATACCTAGAGCCTTTAGATGGTCAGTCATTAACAATGTTCACGAAGCCATAATGCATTTAGGGTGGAAGAAAACTCTAGACAAAATGTATGCCAACTACTGGTTCGAGAAGATGTCTAAGTATGTGAAAAAGTTTGTAGAAAATTGCATTACCTGTAGAGTGTCAAAACCACCATCTGGTAAGCTACAAATAGAAATGCACCCGATTCCTAAAGATGACATACCCTGGCACACTGTGCATATTGATATAACCGAAAAATTAAGTGGCAAAAACGACTTAAAAGAGTACATCATAGTTCAAGTTGATGCATTCACAAAATTTGTTCACCTTCAACATACGCTGAACCTTAATACGGAAAACTGCATTAAGGCAGTCAAAGAAACTGTTGCACTATTCGGAGTGCCGGCACGCATCATAGCTGATCAGGGTAAATGTTTTGCTAGCACAAGGTTTAGGGAATTTTGTTCTTCGCAGAAGATAGGTTTACACCTGATTGCGACGGGCGCCAGTCGAGCAAACGGCCAAGTAGAGCGTGTCATGAGCACCTTGAAGAGCATGCTCACAGCGGTTGAGAGTAGTCAGCGATCCTGGCAAGACGCTTTAAAAGACATACAGCTGGCAATAAATTGCACGACAAATCGTGTAACGAAATATAGTCCGTTAGAATTGCTAATCGGTAAAGAGGCAAGGCCGTTAGGAATGATAACAATATCAGATGAAAAAACAATTGATAAAGATTTAATAAGAGCACAAGCGAAAGATAACATGGTGAATAACGCTAAATATGATAAGGCTAGGTTTGATAAAAATAAAGCAAAAATTGTAAAATATAAGCTTGGTGATCATGTCCTACTCAAGAGGGAAGAACGAAATCAAACGAAGTTAGATCCCAAGTTTAAGGGACCTTTTGAGATAATCGAAATACTTGATGGAGACAGATATTTATTAAAGTCATTGACGAGTAAGCGCACGTTTAAGTATGCACATGAGTATTTGCGAGCTTTTCCAAGCAACAATGTATCGGAGGAGTTGATAGATTTGAGAGATGATGAGTGTGACAATGTTGAGGACATTGCTCAAGACACTGTGGCACTAAGAGAGAGTGCGGTTGGGCTCATACACGATGGCTAAGACCGCACCATAATACTCACGCCGTGCACAAGTGCTCGATCATGGCGTGCTGAAGCGGGTGATATTATGGCGGGGGTCAGAGGTTGAAAGACCTGTATGGATCCGCTCCATGTTATCGTTGCTGGGCAGCAAGAGCCTATAGACGTGTGATGACAGAACAACAACAAAAAAAAAAAAAAAAAAAAAAAAAAAAAATAAAAAAAAAAATAAAACCTACAATGACCGATGATACTGCTGTTTGTAAAGCTATTCTTAAAGTAAAGTAATGACTAATAAATTTTACCCAACAATTTTGACTATGGCATGATCTAAGCGAAATGTACACACGAGGACGTGTGAAATGTCAGGAAGGCCGTGTCGTGTATCCAATAAATTATTGTGAGTATTATTTTGAATGCTAACGATTAAGTGTTAGTAAGAATCAGAGAATTTGACAGAAGGTACTGCTATTTAACATAACTGTCCTACTTGTATTAGGGTTGCTACTGAAAGCATGGTGTGAGACAAAAAAGATAGTCTCTGCCGAGCATGGCCCGAGTGTGTTGTATAACGTCCAGTTTGCTATAGTGTTGAATGTTCACTAACAGTACTAAAAGTCAGAGAAGAATATAGAATGACAAGAGCATGAGTAGTATGCTCGAGGACGATGAAAATTATTCATTCTAAAAGTGGAAGTCATAGAGAACAGACGTGCTCGCTCCTAAAAATATAATTATTTTGTGACTATAACGACACTCGGGACTTGCTGTACTGCCAGTATGCCTAATTGCAGAGAAAGTGATTTCTCTGTTCCGACATATATATGTATATTTGAAAAGATCAACAACGTAAAGAAAAAATAGAGACTAAACTAAAAATTCACACAGTCCTTCAAGCTGGCACACAATTTAATGCCAAAATTCAATTTCATAGATCACATTACTAGCTAATAATATAAGATGCGATATATATATATATATGCTAAATCGACTGAAAGCTACAAGCTAAATATCTTTTATTTTTAGTTGCTAGAAAACTATTTGAATTTAGTCGAGAAATATAACTTGGCCGAAAGTGCCTTAATTTAGAGCGACTGATGCAGCTTTTGGTACGCTACGCCGTTTCATGGACTACGTAAAACAATTCAACTAATGGGCGCCAGTCCTGGGATTCGGCGAATGGATGAGTGCTCATATTGATATATATGTATGCTAGGATATTGCCAGCCAGGTTGTTGTTAACTGGAGGCGGCAGCAGGGGAGCTTATTGTACGACGGCCGAGCGCTTGTCGCGGTTCTTGCCACGCGTTATGGAACGTGCCTTGAAAGCGGCAGCATTCACCAGATGCTGCAAATGGATACGAATAATATTAGTTTAAGCAATTGTAAACCGATGATATTTCACTTACGCGCTCCAACTTTGACTGTTTGACCTTGGCATTGCCATTGATGCCAGTGTTGGTGGGTCGCGGTCCCAGCTGAAAAATATCGCGTATGAATTCATTCTCCTGCAGCTGTGAGGTCATGCCGGGACCCATAACAGTGCACAGGGCCGAGTACTGATGGTGTATGGACCAGGAATCCAATGTGAGCGCATCGTGTCCGAAACGTATATTGATCTCAGGCGATATATCCTCCTGCATGGTCACACAATATAAAGGCGTCATATTTAGCAAGCGTCGACACAAATTTCAGACCGAAAACTTCTAGCTCTTAACAAATTCTCTATCAACTATTTATATTAGTTTTACTCTTTCTTGAGCCGCTCAAAATTTTATGTGGAACTTAAAAGGATAATTATAAAATTTAAAAAAAAAAATATAAAAAAATAAAACCCAAAAACAGCAATATTTCTTTAAGCCGGCCTTCAAAATGATGCTCTCCACTTATCAGCACGACTATGTTCCGCCGAACACGAAACGCTACGAGTTTATGAGCCACCTCAAGACCCACGACGGCTTCGGGGGGCCAAAGGTTGTGGAATGCGAATGCGTCGAGGAGGACAAGATAAAGCCGCCGGCGGACGCGGTCAAGAATTGCTCGGGCGTGGAATGGACGGGTATAGCACCGATGGGACGTTTAGTGGATCCACGTCTAATACCAACCGAACTGGCCCAGGATCAGGTGGAGAAAATGGCATTTGCCCCCGAATCGGATTGCACGAAACTGCAGCCGAATCGGTTTCTCAAAATATTGCGCAACGTCTATCCGGATTTGTACGAGCGCCTAAAATTAATGCCCAAGGAGGAATTGGGACGCAGGCTGGAAACGAATCGCATGTACACAACATATCAGATTGACTACTGTGACGTGAACGAGTATCCAGAGGGCATCTACGAGAGCATGAAGCCCACAGACGAAGCATCCAAAATGAAATCGGACAAACTGTTGGCAACAAAGGCGCCATGTTCCGAATTCCGTTCGGATGTGATGAAGCAGCTAGAGCGCGAAAATACGACCGGCTACGAGGTCAAGGCCGATGAATGCGAGCAAGCCTATAAGCCATTCAAGACCACATTCTCCGATTCCTCGCAGTTTGTCAACTCGGGCAACAACTCGCACTGGAAGACGACGGGCAGCACGTTCCGCAAGGTGCCGAACTTTACCGAATACATGGACTCAATTAGCCGCAACGGCTGCATCATTATGCGCAACAAACTGCACGATCATTCCAAGTGCCTGGCGAATCATTGCCGGCACGAGATCCGGTTCAACTGCACCGACATGAAACAATAGTCTTAAAAGTAATCTCTAAACCCTGTTGCTGCTCGGTTTGTACACAACTGTTTGATATGTATAAATTTAAATTAACAAATCGCAGCGTGTTTTGTATACTATGTCTAATCTATAGTCCGTTCGTGTCCAAGACTCACCTCCAGATAGCGCAAAACATCGCGGAACGTGGCGCGCTGCGCCTTGCGATCGCGTTTAGCGCGATATTTGTGCGAATCGGTGGCCAGCTGCTTGACGGCATCGCACAGCTCACCGATGTGCTCCTCCAGGAAGTTCTCATCGTGTGCACGGCCCGATTCCAGAATTAGGGCAATTGTCTCGCCAGCGGCCATGCGTACATCCAAATGCGGTGATTGCAATAGACCCAAAAACTTTTTGATAGACCTGCAAGGGCAATTAGTTCGATCAGAATCTAGCATTTGGCTCGGTCTGCTTCCGGCTGCTTACGGAAATTTGTGCTGTCCGGTGGTCATCAATGAGACAAAGTCGCCCGAGGGGACGAGCGTCAGCAGCAAGCCCCATGCGGACAGAGCCTCGGCATGCAAGGTTCCGGCCTCGGCAGTGACGGAAATGGGCGTCTTGTCGTCGCCGCGCAAATAGCTGCCGGCGAAGATGGTCTCGAAGAACTGCATCAGCTGCACCAGTTCGCCAATATCCTCGCAGTCCAGGAAGTTGAGCAGGCCCAGGGCTGTGCAGCATTTGGCGCGTGCATCATAATTGACGGATTTATCCTGCACGGTGGTCAGCAAGAACTGGTTCATGGCCTTGGACATGCCCTCCTCGCCGCCCAGCTGCAGCACCAGCAGTGGCGCCAGGCGTGCACCCCACATCTGCTCCTGGCCCTTGCCGCGGCGCACGCTCTTCTCCACAAAGTCCATGAGCGTCATTTTGCGATCCTCAACGAAATCGGGCATATAACGATGCATCAGCAGCTCACAGATAGCCTGCAATGCCTGGACGCGTGTCTGGGCCGACTTCTCGGTGGCCTGTTCCAGAGCCTTTTCGAATTTCTCCTCGAAGCGCTCGTTGGCCAGATCCTCGGCTGCCTCCGAAGAGGCGATCTCCGAGACGTGCGAATAAACACTTACATTGTCAAAGGACTCGTCCTCCGAATTGGAGTCGTTGGTGCGGCCTGCTAAAGTTTGTTAAAATGCTTGCATTAACGTGCTGTCCAAACTGTAGGTTTATTGAATTTAATGTGTTTAATCCTTTCCGCTGCTATTTAAACTGATCCCAAGGCTGGTCTAACAGTTGTTCGATCGCGCTGCTAATCAAGCTGTTCCCACTGTTGCCTCTGGCAGCGCTGCCTGAACTGTTAAATCACTTTATTCTCACTGTTGCCTCACTGTTAAACTGTTAACAAATTTATTTTGTGTGATATAACTGATCCCAATGCAGGTCTAACAGTTGTTCGATCGCGCTGCCAAATCAAGCTGTTAATGCAAACTGCACACATGACTGTTAAATGACTATTCCCAATGTTACCTCACTGTACACACTTAGATGACTGGCAGTGCTGCCTAAACTGTTAAATCACTTTATTCCCACTGTTGCCTCACTGTCAAATTATTTGCGTTCTCATCGCTGCACAAACTGTTAACACATTCATTTCTTGTGATATGACTCAGCTCTCGTGAGCGAGACATATTGATGTTTGTGTGCGTGTACATAATATGTACAATATATACATACATACAAAGCAACAATTTCTAGTACCTTAATTTTCCGCTTGGCAGCGATATTTTTGGCATGTGCTTGTGTGCGTACATCATACAATACAATTACATGTATGTGCGTGTGTGTGTGTATTTTAATTTGTGGGTACGAGCACAACAAAAGTAATTGAATGCGCATTGGCATTTTTGGGGCAATTGTACGACCTTCAAATGAAAATGTTGTGCAACAAGTTTTAGCGTTTGTTGTTGCCAAAGAAAAACTCGCTTAACTTTCTATATACACACAACAATTTTCACTTAGCAGCTGACTACCGATTTGGGACAAGGCAATTTCCGCCAATTGACTTTTCATTTTCCCATTGCAGGGAAAGGCATACACACACACACACACACACAAACATTTGTGTACATGTGTGTGCGTATGTATCTCAACAAAAACAAAATTGTTGCTTGTTTTGCAATCACAACAACAGCCCGAACAGCTGTTGGAAAAACCAACTGTAATTTGAAAGTTGTTTGGTAAGTTTGGGTTGAGAGAGAGAGAGAGAGAGAGAGAGACCGCTGCTCTGGGCATAATTTGAGTCCCTTAACAAAGTGAGAACACTTTTGTAGGCGGCGGCTGCTTCCGCATAAGAAGCCCTATTTTGCTAGAAGCATCCAATGTTTATTTATAAATATAACCTACTTATACATACAGACATGCTGCTGCCTGCGCTTACATACACCTACTAAAGGAAATATACATACATATATAAATACGTATGTATTTGTGTGCTGCTTTGTGTATTTCTTGATAAGCTGGCATTGAACGTTCACACTTGTACAGTGTGGCCATACACTGAACGTGCCGCAGAGTCTATGCGCTATGAAAGACATTTTGCAAGAAGCCAAATTTACCGAAAATAATATAAAATTGTCGTTTTCTTTTAATAATTTCCAAATGTCTACCAAATTGCTTTAACTATAAATCTGTAAGCCAAGTGTGCTGATCAACAGAGTTTTCCCAAATACATACGTATATGCCCTGGCAGGGTATTACGGCATTCGAATGGACGACATTTAACCGTTGGATTTTCTTCGTTTTGTTGCTCTGCTTCAGCAGCTGAGCGCGTGCAAAGCTTTTGCGTTTGCCAGCGCAGCAAAACACAAAAATATATATTTCGATGATTGCCAAACAGGTTGGAGGCGAAAGCTTTTGAAGCCAACGAAATGTATATTTCATGCTATTTGAATGAGTAATGCCTGACAGAGCGCTGTGTGCAAAAGGTCAATAAAAAACAAAAAAAAAACAGCTACACTTCTTAACACAGTCCCACATCACCCACGACATTTTTTCATTTTTCTTTGTGACTCACCTTTGCCTCCTGCTTTTTTATTACGACGCGGCATATTGTTATTGTTGTTGTTGTTGCTGTTGCGTTGACGAATTTTGTGTTTGGTTTTACTTTGGCTGATCTTGACTAAACACACACACACACAAAGTCAAGCCTTGTTGGGCAGTGTCCTTTTGCGCGCGAGCGTGAGAGCGTGAGTCTACACAAAAAATTCTACACACGCGCTTGGCGGCAACTATTGGCGGCACTTGCACGTGTTCTCTGCTTTTATTGATTTTCTATGCGTTGGGCGTTCAGGAATTTAGGTTAGAATTTTTGGTGTTATTGGATAGTTCTTAATCTTTATGTGCTTTATTTAAAGTGCAAGACGATTAATCAAGACGCAGCTATGCAAAAGCTTTTATGCTTCCAATATTGTCTTTGTTGCTGTGCCTGCTGTTGCCTTTTGTTGCACAACACGCGTTTGGAAATGTTGAGAACTGATACCGAACTGAACGTTGTTGATTTGAACGCGCGTTTTTTATTTATGCACTGCTGATGTTGCTGCTCCTGATTATAAAAATGCTGGTCGTCGCTTTGTGTTGACACAAATTTCATGTTTAATTGCAATTGAATATCGTTGCTACTTCCTTGGCCTTGAGACTGACTGTGTCTGACGTCGACAGCGCCGCCTTTTTTCCGAGGGTGTATAACGAGTTGTGAAATTGTTTGCTTAAGCGTTTGCGGTTTCGTTGTTATTGACTCTCTCTTTTTTCTTTTTTTAATATGCACGTATGCACGGCTTTTAGCTTTGATTATTGCAGCTTTTCCAAAAGCTCTGCGTCGTTGGTGTGTTGTTAAAATAATGCAAATAATTAAGCACTTTTCGTATTGCTGAAGTTGACGAAATTATAATGACACATTCGGAGCAGTGTTGAGCAGCGTTAAATGTGTTTATCGCAAAAGAGTTATCGAATTTATATCATTACACAACCTTGCGCATCTGCGCAAAATGCGACGAAATAAAAATAAAAACCCCAGTCATTATTTTCGTTAGTAAATTCCACTGAATTAAATTAAACGAGACTGCAAGGGATTCCCGAATTCGATATTAATTGAAAATTAACCGTTTTGAGAAGAATAGTGGAGTAATGAGTGACATTTTGTGGAATTGTTACCAGCTGTTGGCTTACAAAATGGCGCCAAATTTTTGAATTCAAGTCAATATATAGCAAATTAATTTCTTCTATTTTATTTATTATTGCAAGCCCTAATAAACAAAAATCACATAATTTCGTTATATTATTTTCTCTAAACATCTGCTTTGCTCTCGATTATTTGAAATCAATCAAATCAAAATCAATTTGTATAACACAAGCGTTTATTTCTATTTGTATGCTCCCTGTGTATTAAATAAAAGATAGAAAGAGATATTTTTTTAAATGAGAAATATTCTGTCAAATGCATTGGTAACTTTTCGCCTAATTAATATTTGAAGTAATTTTAAGAGGCTAATCAACTCAATTGGCAAATTCAATCAAATGAGTTGCAGCAGCACCCTGTATTTGTGATCGATATTCACAAAGCCAATTTTAATGCATTTATCGCAATTATCAATATATCGATATATAGTCTCACCCACATTCATTCCCAAGTCTGTTTATTTTTATTGCAAAACGAATTTAAAAACAAGTAGTCGGTAGGCAGCTAAGCGTCGGCTGCTGCTCGGTGTTCGTATAAACAATTTGCATTAAATGCCAATAATTAGTTGTTATCAGCGATGCTTGTTTGCCACACACAAATGCAGCAGCAGCAGCAATAATTTTTATTGAACTTCGACTCCTCAGAACTCGAACTTTGTCTTTTCTCTGCACACACACACACGCACACAGACACACACACACATGCAGTTGCCAGCATCAGTCGATGTGAATCAATAACAAAACCCCAACAACAACAACAACAACAACGAGGACAAAAACACTGCCCGAGAGAAGCTTAGAGCGTCATTTTTGGGTGTCTGCACTTGCACAAGATAATTAGGTAATTTGTAAACTGCTTGCGACAGCATCAGCGCCATTCACCTGCGTGTTGGCGTTCGTTGTTAAATGTTCAAGCCATGCGGGTGCCACGAAGTGAGAGGGGGGGGTGGGTAATTCACAATTATCGCTGAACCTTAACCGTTTGTATCTGTATCTAATCTAATGTTTATAGCCAGCTGCATTTGAATTTGTATTTCAGCAGTTATTGGCAGCAATGGCTAGCATTGAGGAGCGTTTCCAGGCGGCCGTCAACGTGATCAAGGGTCTGCCCAAGAATGGTCCCTATCAGCCCAGCATGAGCATGATGCTGAAGTTCTATGGACTGTTTAAGCAGGCATCGGAGGGCAATTGCTCGCCAAAGAAGCCGCCCTTCTGGGATGTTGTTGGGCGTGCCAAATGGGATGCGTGGAACAGCAATCGCAATTTGAGCAAGGAGCAGGCTATGCAGCGCTATGTGGAAAGTCTGCAGGAAATCATTGAGACCATGTCGTTTACGGAAAATGTGCAAAACTTTGTCGGCAGCCTCGAGGGACTGACCAATATCAATTTGGATGAACTGGAGCTGATATCGCCGGGCATGCGTGAGCTGGCCGAATCGCATCCCAATTCGCCGTTCCATTCGCGCACAAACAGTCCACAGCATGGCAGCAGCTCGAATGGAGTTGGTGTGGTGGATGCGCCCACCGTTGCCACGTCCACGGAGACCCTGACCAATGGCCATCTGACGCCGCTGACCAATGGCTACACGAGCAAAACAAGCAACGGCTACGCGGCACACGATTCGAGCAGCAACAACAATTACACAAACAACAGCAGCGTGGCCATTGTGGAGCCCTCCGATGACGAGTACGATGATCCGTACGAAACGATGCTGCCCCAGGAGCTCACAGAAGCGATCACACACAATACGGAACTGTTGCGACAAATACAGAACACAGTGGCCAGCATGAACAGCGATATGGCTGCAGTGCAGCAGCGGGTGCGCTGCATGGAGCAGTCTCTGCTGGAGCTGCGCAATGCACAAAAGATGCAGTCACCAGCTGGACGAAAGCAGCCAGCCTGGTGGCTCTTCAAGGATATTTCGCCATTGTGGTTTGCGGTTCTGGTGCTGTGGCCCTTCCTGGTGCGACGCCTCGCGCGGTTGGTGGAGAGCAGACGCCGCTGACGGCGCAAGCCATTAGAATAGCTTAATCGGTATGGTAGTTAAATTGTAAGTACAAAAATAAAAATCAAAAGACAGTTGAAAACGATCAAGTGAGAACGGAGAGTAAAAGATCAATGTTATATCGAGTCAGGTCGATCCTTCGGCCTTAGAACGCATATATCAAACTGATCTTAAACGGAATACCACAAAAATTATACTCACTTGAACGTTGGCGAACTTATCTTATCAGTAAATTCCATTGAATAAATGCTTGGCTTAGTAACTTGATCAATAACACTCAACTTCTTGCAGATACTCACGGTTATGGGGACGAGCTTTGTCTGGCTTGCTTTTATTCTCGAACGCGTTACACTTCTTGTACAGAGAGTTGGCCTTGAATTTAGTTTCATAAGTTTAACCAGTTGCAATATGTATATTTTTAATGTAGTCTGTGTGTATATGTACTTTTTATGTTTGTAACAAACGAGCACACATAAGCTATTAGTGGCACATTCCCCTTATCCTTACCTTACGATCAACATGTTTAGTTTGTAAGACGAAAGTTTTGTGCATTTTGCCCAGGCTGGGCGCGCTTTTGCTTGGTCCCACAGCGTTGCCTCTTCCCTGCGAGACTGGGGCAAATGGTTGTAAAACAATTTGATTTGTTGTTAATTATAATTTTGTAATAAAGTCATGTAAAATGCAGAATATCACAATTCGGCTGTCCTGGAATACTTCTAGTTCTGCGGCTGAGCAGTGATGCGCAAATAGCTTTTGCCGGAGGGCACCTGGATCGTCTGCACCCCGTTAGGAAATAGCTGCGGCACATCGACAGCCTGCACTGTGGGCAGCACCATGCACTGGCCGCCCGGCTGCCAATCCGCGGGCGTGGCCACGCTCTTTGTTTGTGTCAACTTGAGCGAGTCGACAACGCGCAAAATTTCACTGCCGGAGTAAATTACAATTCAGTTAATGGTCAAGTTTCAAGTGGTCAAATTTAAAGCTCACTCGAAATTGCGACCAGTTGTGGCTGGGTATAAAATAGAGAGACGCAGCTTCTTCTTGTCGTCGATAACGAAGACGGCGCGACAGGTGAGCGGTATGCCGGCAGCATTCAGCTCATCCTTGTCCAGCATATTCAACTTGACAGCCAGCTCGCGCTTATCGTCCGCAATGATGGGATAATCGAAGCTAGCCAGCTCTTCAAGAAACCAAGAATTAGGAGGCAGTTCTCATGTGGCACGTGCTACAACTTACTGCCATAGCTTTTGATGTCCTCGATCCAAGCGTTGTGAGACTCTGCCGTGTCACAGGACAGAGCAATCGGTTTAATGCCGCGCTTCTGAAATTCCGGAATCAATTGGGCAACCCGTGCAAGCTCCGTGGTGCACACGGGCGTGAAATCTGCCGGGTGCGAGAAGAGGATGGCCCAGCTGTCGGCCATCCAGTCATAGAAATCTATTTTGCCCAAATTGGTCTGAGCCTCAAAGTTGGGAAACGGATCACCAATATTAAGAGCTTTCGGCGACATTTTAAAAAATGTAGTAAATTAATTGAACGAAGAGAAGCAATTAAAAAAGTTCTGCAGCTGACAGACTATCGATGCCAATGCGATAGTTGGTTATCGATAGTCAGCTATCGCTCATATCGTTCGCACTTTCATCAGCAATCAACCAAAACAAACACTTTAATTCAGCAGTTCAGTTTAAAAATATACATATTTAACAAAAACAGGCTGCCAAGCAACATGTCCGATCTTAGCATCAGCGGAACTCAGGTGCAGCCACAGCCCCCGCCACCTGCCGCCGAACCCTTTCGCATAACAACGAATGCGCCGCAAATGATTGATGCAAACCTGACGGAAGGACGTCGAAAGCTTCAGAAGTGGCTGGGTCGCGTCTTGCGGATCGTTATCACTGACGGACGTGTATTGGTTGGCTTCTTCAACTGCACGGATCGGGATGCCAACATTGTGTTGTCCATGTGCGCCGAGTATCTGGTGGAGGGACAAGAGCCTCGTCTGCTGGGCAACGTCATGGTGGCCAAAAAGCATATTGTGTCTCTCAACATTGACGAGCCTCGGCCCTCATCAATTATTTGAGTATCTTTTTAAATATTGTAAGAATATAAGTGGTACATACATGTGTTTATATGTATATACAGTGAACAAGAAAAGTTTGTGGACTACCTATGCATGCTAGTCCGTTTAAGAATAAAAGTAATATCAAATTATGAATATACACATTACATAAAGAGGCTGTCAATTCATTTGTTTAGTTAATAAACAAAAACATTTATCAAATTGATTAATTTAAATGTTCAAAAGAGCGTCTCTTACTTATTTCAATCACTGTAAGAATTGCGATTATTTTTGTGTTAGTCAAAGTGATTGGCAATATGCTGCGTTGCCAACTACATTACAAACTAGTCTGCTGCATCTTTAATTTTTGCTTTTGCCTATAAGAAAATGTGAATATTTTAATTACCAAACAATTCTACACTAAAAAATATATATATTACCAAATCGAATCTTTTTAAAATTTATTTACCAAATCGAATCTTTTTAAAATTGATGGCAAGTCAGCTGCAAGTGCGGTATTTTTTTAGTTTGTATTCGAATCGATGGATTTTTTAGCACATTTATTCTCAGCCGCAAAACAGCAACAACTAAATTGTTGCAAGGCGTTATTAATAATGTCAACACAGCAGTAGAGCAATTAATTGCTAAAAATCAACACTCAATTGAACACAATCAGCAATGGATTTCACGAGCTTCGTCAAGCCTTCAAACGGAGGCTCCGCCGGCGATACTGATGAGAACGCCGACACCAGCAAATTACAATTTTGGAAGCACGTCGAATATATTGAGAACCATGGCAAACAGGAGGACGACTACGAGTATTGCATGACCGAGTTCCTGCGCATGTCGGGCATTTACTGGGGCGTCACAGCGCTGGACATAATGGACCAGCTGGACCGGCTGGACCGCAAGTCCATCATTGAGTTCGTGAAGCGCTGCCAGTGTCCGGTAAGCGGAGGCTTTGCGCCCTGCGAGGGTCACGATCCGCACATGCTGTACACGCTGTCTGCGGTGCAGGTTCTGTCCACATACGACGCGCTGGACGTGATCGATTGCGATGCGGTGGTTCGTTATGTTGTCGGTCTGCAGCAGCCGGATGGCAGCTTCTTTGGCGACAAGTGGGGCGAGGTGGATACTCGGTTTAGCTTCTGTGCGGTGGCCACACTGTCGCTGCTCAAGCGCATGGAACAGAGCATAGATGTGGACAAAGCGGTTAGGTTTGTCATGTCGTGCTGCAATCAAACGGATGGCGGCTTTGGCTCCAAACCGGGCGCTGAGTCACATGCAGGTGAGTCATGGCCATTCATTATTTGCAACAACAAAAATCTACAATTTGTGTCGCTTGCAGGACTCATTTATTGCTGCGTGGGCTTCCTGTCGCTTACACAGCAGCTGCATCTGTTGGACGTGGATAAGTTGGGCTGGTGGCTGTGCGAGCGACAGCTGCCCTCGGGCGGACTCAACGGTCGTCCCGAGAAGCTGCCCGATGTCTGCTACTCCTGGTGGGTGCTCTCTTCGCTGACCATTATGGGGCGGCTGCATTGGATTAGCGCCGAGAAGCTGCAGCAGTTCATTCTCTCCTGTCAGGATACGGAGACGGGCGGCTTCTCTGATCGCACCGGCAACATGCCAGACATATTCCACACGCTCTTCGGCATTGGCGGCCTCTCGCTGTTGGGCCATTCCGGACTCAAGGCGATTAATCCGACGTTCTGCATGCCGCAGTATATTATCGACAGGCTGGGCATTCAGCCGCAGGTTCTGACGCATGCGTAGGCATTGATATTAAGACAAAAGCTATAGCCAATGTTATATGATTAATTTATAAAGCGGACCTCACGCGTATTATGCTACCTTTCAAGCAAGCCCAAAACAGATTCAACTAGACAGATTCACAGTTCATTTTTCTTTGCATCTACTCGCATTTTGAACAATTTATGCTTCTTATGCATTTACATATGTTTAGCTGTATTTTTAAATACATATAATGTTTCATAAGCAAGCCATGTAAAAATTTGTCGGTATCTGTAATTATAGAGCAAAACTAAATAAAGACACTATTTTATTATTGCATGCGAATAAAGATATTTGCACTGGCCAGAGAGTAACAAAAATTAGGCCTTTCATTCAAGCGAGCATTTGCCTTTAGGAACTTAGACTTCGATGTGTTATAATAAATCCAAGCAATTGTTGTTGCCAATTCGGTGAAAAATAAAAAATTAAAAAGTATCCAATTCAACAATTTTATTTTGTTTTTAAAATAACAAATAATATGCGTGTAAAATTACAAATTTTTATATATTTTTAATATTAAACAATTTAAAAATTAGATATGTATGCAGATAATATATATATATATACATTAGGAAAATATCAAGTGTAAGACTAATACGATATCGTGGCATATTAATTACATACAAAAGAAAATATAATCACACAAAATCTGAATTATAAACTAGAAGAACGTAGTGTAGTCACAGTGCGGCCCTTATATAAATGACAAATAAATGAATTCGCTTTCAATTAAAGACAATTGAAATGAATTTATAGCGCATAAATATATTAACTGGCCAGCAGAAGGCTGTCTATGTGTGTGTGCGAATGTGTGTGTGTGTGTGTGTGTGTGTGTGTGTGTGTAGTATACTTCGATGCACGTCTAAGGCACTCTAGAAACAATTTCAGCTATTTATATATTCGCCTACACACTAATAGAAGGAGAACTAGGAATTATTGAACTTCTCATCGCTGGTCAGCACATTGTAGGCACATCCTAGTGCCCAAGAGATTTCATGGCCGTCAATCTTTTTGTAAAGCTGCGCAAATAAACAAGAAAAGAAACTAATTAGCAACGTGCTAAACAAATTATGCTCATTTATGAGACACACCTTTACTTTCTTGCTGTCGTTAAGGCCGAATCCTTCGCGCAGCAGCACCGAGATGAAGGTCAGATCGAAGCACATGAATGGCTGCTCATCATTGGGTATGGCACAGATTTCCTGGGCCTTTTTGCGATAGCCCTCCACGGTTGTCTCGCCGCCGGCCGTTGGATCAACCAGACCCGATTCGATGGCGCGCTCAAAATAGTAGCTAAATGCGGCTACTGCATGCTGTTTGAGCGTGAAGGGTTTTGGCTTGACCAATGGCATTACCTTGCTCTTGACCAGCTCCAGGCATGCATCAAAGTCAACGATCGGCTGCTCGGCGCTGGATTTGCTGTTCTCCTTGCCGCTCACCTGGTACTTAACATTGCCGTACACCCAGGTGCGATTGGCAATGATGGGATTGACGCAAACGCTCTCCACCACAGTCTCCTCGGCGCTGTAGCCCTTGGTGAAGACAGCATGACGTGCGGCCATTAGGCCCAGGCCCAGATAGCTGTGCGTAAACACATTTATCTTCTTGTTGGAGGTGACCACCTCGTGCATATACTTGTCGTAGACGGGCACCTGTTCGGGATCTGTGGGCGAGAAGGTGACCTGCGTGCTGCCGCCGCCCAAATCCAGAGCAGCTGCCTGGTTCGTCTTGGACAGACGGCCCAGCAGAAAGTTAACGGTGAACCAGCTAAAGATGCCCTCATCCGTGCCATTCATGATCTCAACGGCATCAATGTCCACACTAAACTCGGATTTGGCAAACAAATCGCGCACCGCATTCAGCAGATTCTCCGCCTTGCTCTGTGGCAGCAGCCGCAAGCCAGCCGTCGCCTTCAGCACCAGCGGCGTGGACGACCAATGCTCCTTGGGTATAAAGGCACGCGCCTCGTCCAGCAGCAGCTTAATGGAGTGTGCGCCCTCGGCTGGATTATCGGCGAACGAGCTAAGGCCGGGCTTGCGCTCCTTAAACAGCTCCTCATACAGCACCAGCTTGTTGTCAATGAAGCTGCGATTGAACTTGTACGCCAGGACGCGGCTGCCCGTCGAGCCGGCGTCTATGATGGCTGCGTACTGAACCTTGCTGTAGCCCAGCTTGGAGGCCAGACGCGCCAGATACGGGCTAGCATTATCGGACACGGCGCCTGCATGGTTGTTATTGTTGTTGTTGTGATTATGTGTCGTCGGTTTGGTTGTGGGACGTGGCGCATTTGGTTGTGCGTGATGCGGCGATTCATGAAAGGGAACGGTAACAGTGGGAAAATCAGAGGTTTTAGTTAGTTTCGGCACAATTGGCATCGACATTTTAGCAAAATACAATTGATACACACCAAAGACAAAGAGCAGCAGGACCACGGACACAATCAAACACAGAAATGATACTTTTAGGCCGCTGGTCACACCGCCACGTCCATTTCCGTTTCCGGCGCCGCTGCCCTTGCGTCGATTCGCCGGCGTCACTTTATCATCGCTGGCCAGCTGCAAAATGAACACAATTAATATAGTTGGCTCGTTTTTAAATGTATTTAATAATTATTGCTTGAGAGCACGACAGTCTACCAGCTTGTATTCGTATCTCATTGCGCTGCTTTTGCTATCTATAAATAACCAGCATTTTCCTTAAAACACATGCTGGCAGCTTCGTCAATTGTTTGCACTTGTCTGTCTGTTTTGTGTTTGTTTCGCTTTTTGGCTTCCAATGCTCTTGACAATTTCGGTTTCTTATCGGACAATTGGCCAATGTAATTCTGTTGTTGCTATTCAAGAGCATTGAGGGCTGCCCAACATTTAGCTATCGATAACTTGCGCAGCCAGGGCTGCATTACACCAATGTGCTTTGCTAACTGTGCTAATGATCTAAATGTGTGATTTAGAACAACCAGCGTATTGTTATAAAACAGGTTTTGAATATTATTTGGAATCATTTCAATTAGAAAACCTACAGACTACTTATTAGTTTTTTTATTTTATGAAATTCAGTTCGAGATACTTTATCGCATTAGATGCCAAAGCTAATAATGATGAGAGCGCATTTATTTTATACTAACAGAGCACATAATAAACATTTGACACGCTCATTACACACATACTTAACATTTATTTATACATACACATGTGTTTATTGGTATTCAAGTCTAGTTTCGCATTACGTTATATAATGAGTGAGTAATTTTCTATCAATAGGTAATTAACATAAGAACTTGAGAGTCATGCTAGGTTACAATTTTTGTAGCGAACTTTTGTTTTCGAACATTTTGTTTTTTCTTTGAAGGTTATCTTGATTTAGACATTCGTAGACTACGATAAGATATTCATACCATTGGAGAGAGCTTGTGAAATGTGTAGAGTTAAGTGTAGAGTCTTTTGGCTTGAACAAATATTATTGTTGAAACCACAAAGACAACTAACGAAATTGCCATTCAATTATTTAGACAAGTGTAAGTGCACAAATAAATTAAACTAAACTAACAGAGCCCAAAGACGACTCTGAACTGTGGACTGTGCCATTTAATTGGCAACAGCAATTGCTTGAATTTATTTCATTTGCATGTCAATGCGGAAAATTCACATTGCACCTTTGTGAATTTCGACAGCTGCGCCAAGGTGGAGGCGCCTTTTAATCAATAAAATAAGAAATACCTTTTAAAAAAAAAAATAATCAATTGATAATTGAGACGTGCGACCGGGACATGCATGTTTTAGTACGGCTTTTCGCTTATCAAGAGAGAAACGCACACAATGGGGCTTGAAATGTGCTTAGCTTATCACTCGGCATTGTAAAAATAGCTCTGTTTGAGTATTTCATCAGACGTTACGAGGTTTAACAACAGCTATCGTTATGCAAATATCGTTATTGTGGCTATCGTTATGCAAATATCGTTATTGTGGCCGGCGCACAAGGGTTAAGCGGCGCACAAGGGTTAAGTTGCGAACTCCATCCAACGCGATTTGAACCTGTTTTTCGCTGCGCCCACAAAACATTTGTTGAAAATCTCGCTAACAGCACTTGAGAGCAATTTATCTAATGAAAATAGATGACCTTGTTGGCTGGGGGAGAAAAAAAAAAAAAAACTGCCGAATAGAAGCGTAATTTAACCGGCCGGTCAATTTGTGTTTATTATGTGAAAATATCATCGTCATTTTCAGCTCATTTACAAATATAATTCAAGCTGTTTCGTCAGCTTTCTTTAATCAAAATAATCATTTTATGAAAATGACTAAATAACGTTTTATACAAATGTTAAATATATTTAAGCGAGAGCTTTCCAATAAACTATTTAGTCGCATATTTTTGCCAGCACTTTAAATGGAAAGCAGGACAAATCAAACGTTTACGAATGTCACCCAAAGAAGAGTTCTAAAATCAAGATTCAAAACTTTTCCAGCACTGTGCCGGCTATTAACTGTTATAATTCAAGGCTTGTTTAGATCAGTTTTGTGCTCATCTCTATCTAGAAGATCTTATAGGAGCCGGGCACGCGAAACGAATTGAAATTGTTAGGAAAATTGTTGTTTGGGCAGCAACAATCAATTGTTTATGTAAATAAACTTGGCACAATAAACGCAAGGAATTAGCTTTAATTTCCGCATTTAATTGTGGGTGTGTGTGTGTTGGGAAACGCGCCGAAATTAGCATTTAAAACAATGTCGTAGCGTTGCCCTTTAACCTTTGCTCACCTTTCTCTTTCGCACATCGGTGGTTGTCATTGTGTTGATATATTTGTACTAAGTTGTGTAAAACCTATAAACGTTATTCACTAACACATTCGTATTTGTTTGGCAATTAGTGACCGCTCACTAGAACAAAATCGCCTTTGTGTTATGCTTAAAAACTAGGAATAATCAGATGGCATCAACCACCACGTTGCGCACGAAATGGCGTACTAAATTAAACTAATGATTGGTAATCAGCTGTTGCTGTTTGTACGGTCCGTTGTAGTGTTGTATATTGACATGCTGAAATTGAATGGTCACCCTAACAACCTGTTAATACTGTCTATAATAAGCTATCCACAAACAGGCTTGAATGGCATTTGTTTATATAACTGTCTATTTTAGTTTTTCGCTAATAATGGGCTACATGTATTTATTTAGTTTTCACAATTTTTTGCCCACAAAATTCAAATTGTTTTGCATATAGAGAAATATTATGAATCACTGCTATTGTTGGTATTTTCTGCTG